AATCCAATCTCTTCTTCTTCTTCTTCTTCTCCTCCTCTTATGCTCTTATGGATAAACATATGGAGCAGAGGTCCATCAGTGGCTATGAGCCACAAGGTATAGATAGGAACTCTCCATCTGGGGAAAGGGATGCTCTTTATTCTTGGTGCCGGGGGCGGGGGGACAACCGTGGGGAGGCTTCTAGTGTCCTGGCCCCACTGGTGGACCTCCTGATGGCCCCTGGTATTTTGGGCCACTGTGTGACACAGAGTGTTGGGCTGGATGGGCCACTGGCCTGATCCAACATGGCTTCTCTCGTGTTCTTAACCAGCCCTTTGAATCATGCCCAGGAATGGGGGAGCAGCCACGGCAGGTCTCTCAGCACACTGAAGCACTACGTTCCCAGTATCCGGCTCCTGACAGTGGCCTGGCACTGCACATTGTGGGCTGCTGGAAGTGTCTCTCCTGCCAGTCTGCTGGGGGATCGGGAGGGGCCCCCCGTTCCAATGCCCCTCTCTTTGCCCTCTCCTGCAGGCTGCGGGAAGAAGGGGTGCCCTGCCCCGTGGCCAGCATCGGCTCCACTCCGTCCTGCAGCCACCCCGTGCCCGAGATGGCTGAGCTTCAGGAAGTCCATCCCGGGAATTACATCTTCTATGGTAAGCTGAACATGAGTCATAAAGCCGTGCCGCATTCCGGAGTCACAAATGTAGCCTCGGGCACCGCTGCCTGTGTATGCCTCTGTGCGACTCTACGTATGTGGATCCTTCCAGTCCGCCAAGGAGTTCCACGTGACGTACACAGCCGCCTCCCCTCCCCTCCCGCAAAGCTGGAGGGGTGGCGTTTGAGCCTCACAACGACACTGCAGGGCAGGCTAGGCTAAGAGGTGTAACCATCATGGCTGTGTGGGTCTTTATGGTCTGCGTTTAGCATACATGCCGTGGGTGGGCAGGGGCCGCGGCTCAGTGGTAGAGCCTCTGCTTGGCATGCAGGAGGTCCCAGGTTCAATCCCCGGCATCTCCAGTTGAACAGAAGAGGCGGTCAGTGCCCCGACCTGGATAGCCCAAGCAAGCCCGATCTTGTCAGATCTCGGAAGCTAAGCAGGGCCGACAGGCCAGTAGCCAGGAGGAAGGTGGTCTCCTTTAAGAGAGTCAGTGGAACCTCCTGCATGCCAAGCAGAGGCTCTACCACTGACTCTCTCTTAAAGGTGGTCTCCTTTAAGAGAGTCCTTCTGCCCAAGTGTTCGCTTTCTTGACTGTAGAAGTCACCCCCATTTGCCGGCTTGTTCTCAGAATGGTTGTTTAGGCTGGCAGAAGGGATTAATTTGCAGCAGCTGCAAACTGTCATCCAAAGGGGTTGACAGCTTGCAATTTAGAGATCTATTCTGGTCACAGTGGCTTTTCCTTCTGCATTCAGCCCCGACAGGAAAAAAATTGCCCCACAAGCAATGCTCCCTCTAAGCTGTGGAGTCCTGGGAGCAAAAATTCTACTTTGTGAGCTCCGGGCACTGAAGTTGCGAGCGAGCGATTTGGCTGCTGCATAAATCAGTTTCCTCCGGAGCCGTCTGTTTCCTCTTGAGCTGAGACAAAGACGTGTGAGCCAGAGGCTAAAAAACGGTGAGCTAGCTCCCACAAACCCAGCTTAGAGGGAGCACTGCCCACAAGCCACTGCGTGGTATGCCTTGTGCACTCTGCTGACTTATGAATGGCTCCTGGCTATACCAAACCAGAGAATCTAACATCCCAGACACTAGTCTTAACCAGTGTTCCCTCTAAGCTGAGTTAGTGTGAGCTAGCTCACAGTTCTTTAGCCTCCGGCTCACACTTTTTTGTCTTAGCTCAGGAGAGATGGCTCCAGAGCAAACTAATTTATTCAGTAGCCAAATCGCCTGCTCACAAGTTTAATGCCAATAGCTCACAAAGTAGAATTTTTGCTCACAAGACTCCACAGCTTAGAGGGAGCATTGGTCTTAACCCTCTTAACCACTGCATCACCCCCCTCCCACCCTGCAGATGTTCAGCAGATGATGATAGGGTCTTGCCAGCTGAAGGATATCGCAGTGAGGGTCCTGACCCGAGTGATCGGCCACTACCCGCATCGGAACCAGATGCTCGTCGACTGCGGCTGGACCGGACTCAGCCTCCACAGCCTGGGCCAGCTACCCACAGGATACGCCCTTGTGGAGGGCCACCCCGAACTCAAGTATGTGATGCTCGCTTTGATACAGCTGTCTGCTCCATCAGGTAGCAGGCAGCTCCGCACCTTTGCGGGCCGCATTTCCACAAGCAGCGCCCGCCGGCTCAGACCCAGGGCACCAGGAAGTGGCTTCTTCCAGATGAGAGTCCGTGCTCCTAACCACTACACCAAAACCCCCAGTTTACAAAGCACTTGTGCCTCCATGGGTTGGTAAAATAGAACTGAATCATCAGGGGCGTTTCCGATCCAGCTGCATGCTAGGGGGAATATTTTTGGCTTTATTAATAAAAGTTTTACAACAAAATACAGATAACAACAGTGATGGCAACAAATCAGCATTATCATCCAACTTGAAATACCACATTTTCTTCCAGAACAGTTTAACTTTTCTCTTGTAACAATTCAAATTCCATCAATTAATCGTCGTTTCTATGTATCAATTCTGTAATTTATACACAGATGGGAATATACAATTGCAAAAATGCAATAAATATAAAAAATAATAAAAATAGCAGTCTAGTGTATAATTGTTTAACATATGAAGGCATAGTATAGTTAGGTAAAAGGTAAAGGTTCCCTTGCTCGAAAGCCAGTCAAATCCGACTCTAGGGTTGCGGTGCTCATCTCCGTTTCAAAGCCAAAGAGCCAGCGCTGTCCAAAGACGTTTCCGTGGTCATGTAGCCGGCATGACTAAACACCAAGGCGCACAGAACGCTGTTACCTTCCCACCGAAGTGGTACCTATTTATCTACTTGCAATGTCTTGCTTTCGAACTGCTAGGTTGGCAGGAGCTGGAACCAGAGGTCATTTCGGTGGGGAACGCGAGGGAATGCAGTTCCCCCGGGTGAGGTACGGGGGGGCGGGGCACATGACGAAGCCCCGCCCCCTGCTTCCAGCCACCCCA